GATATATATATATATATATATATTGATCAGCAGAAATAAATATAACATTACTTTTTATTTTTTATTTAGATATCAGAAATCACCGAAATATTGAAGTACTTTATACATAAAAACTTTTCGCGTTTTATTCAAAAGTTATAATTTTAATATATATATTTTTTTTATTAAAAATGCTTCTTGTAATTGTCGGTATCGACTCAATTCAGCCATTTAAACACGGTATCCTAAGATAAGAAAATAACTGTTAAACCAACGAACAAACCAATCCGAAAAATATTCTTTTGTTATGTAAAACTTTGTTACTGTGCTCCTTTCCTTCCCGAAAATCTGATTTAGAAAAAAGCAATGGAAGTGTTTTCTTTACTTCATCACAATTTTTTCTTGTTAAAGCGTACACGACAATAATTCAATTGAAAAAAATTATGATGATTATTTTGATATAATTTATAAACGATATAACTGTAAAAAAATCTTTAAACAATGACTATAGCAATCTGAAAGCCGGACTTATTCATACAAGTTTTACTATATAACATACATTTTGTTGCTGTGAATGCAACAAACAGTGCTTAAAAGTTTGCACATATTAAAAGTTAAACATTTTAAGAAAAATAAGTACACCTAAATACATTTCTATCATGAATTTTTCTTATTATAAATACAAGGCAATAAACAATAATCACTGATTGTGAGTTTGATTAAACTGTACAACACCAGCAAGGTCTCAATTGTGTTTATGAAAGACTACAAAAACAATCATGAAGACATTTCAGAGATTATACAACTTCCAACGAAATGAAAATTACACATTGATAATGAACTCATTTTATCCAATGTAGTAAACCTTACCATATAATTTCTAAGTTTTTAAAATTTATTTAGCAGAATATCATTTATGTGGCAGTATGTTACTGTCTCTTTGTAAGTATTTTGGAAATGTATTTTTGAGAAAAATACCATTGTAGGGGACTACATTTTTGTTTTACAAGGAATCACTTCAGTTATGTCTCTGTAATAATTTTCCTTCTCGGAATACAAGCATCTGACGACTTTGAGAAATAAATTTCTGACAGGCTGCCTCAGTAACCTGCATACAGTCTCGCATATCTAAACAAGTCAAATTAGTACATCGTTTCAATGCCTCCAGACTCGTATCTGTAATATTTGAACACGAAGAAACATCTAAAACCATTAAACGTGAAGATTTTGCTGCACCGAGAACAGCTATTCCCATATCTGTCACTTTGTGACAATGACTGAAATCTAAACGAGAAAGAGAAGGTAAATGATGTGCAAGAAGACGTACAGAAACATCAGATATATCTGCTCCAGCTAAACGAACTTCGACCAACTGTCTTAAACGAGTTTTTGTTTCTACAAATCCTGGCCTCGAGTCAGGAGGAGGAGAAAGAAGATCTCTTATCACTGAATCAGTCAGTCCTTCGACCCAACTCAGATCCAAGCAACGAATAAGAGGACAATTACATGTACACAAGGCTGACACGGCAGCAGAAGAACAACCACTGAGAATCAATTCTTTCATTTGGGGAAGACGAGCAATCAGCCAAGCTATTTGTCTACGTGACACATTAGTCCAGCTCAGATTCAAAGATATGGGTTGACGTCGAACAATACCTATTAAAACATTGGCGGTTATTTTCCTTCTTGTTAAATCCATATGAGTCCACAATCTAGGATCGATAGACCAACGGTTCCACGTTTTACATACAAGCTGACATGTATAAAGATCTGCTGATGTTAAATAACAAAACACTGGAAACATCACTTCCTTCTCTAAAGCTAAATTAATTGTACCTGTCCTAGATAATTTTTGCTTTTCTTCAGCGCTCTCTTCAATAATTGGTGCAGGCCGTACAACATATTTTGGTTTGCGCAAATTTGCATTATTACGAAGCGGAATAGTAAATTTCTGTTGCGAAGGTGGTTTATCTCCAGGACCAGTTGTGTCTCCCTTTAAAACTTTATCAACTGGAGCACAGGTTCCTTGAAGAGCTTTTCCATTATCTAATATATTATTGTTTTCATTTGTATTCATCTTTTTTGGTACCCCATCTTCTGATTTATCTAGTTTAATACATTTAGCTACATCTTTTTTATCATCATGTTTTGTATTTCCAATATCTCCCAAAGTCCTCGCCTTCATTCTTAAGAGACTGTTACGACGAAGTTCGGAATTCTTTTTTAATCCTTTTAAACTCCTAAAAAGTCTCTCTCTAGCAGTTTCGCCGTGTCTTCTGGATGCCATTCCAGGGCTCAAACGTGATGAACGAGGGCGTAATTCAAGTTCACTTTGTTTTGACAGAATAGATTTATTGACAGGTTTTGTAGCAATTATTTTTCCATGTTCAGTTTTTAGAGGCTTTTTAATGCTTACGGTGTACCTCGCACATGATCTTACATGTGATGATGCACTCTGGATTCTTCTAAGTTGAAGGGGATCTAAGGTGGCCTTATTATCTTTTGGAGAACTTCCATTATTGTTATCATCCTGTAAGCATTAACAAATTACTAAATGATGTTTATGCTAATATATGAACATACACACACCACACATTCATATAAAACTAACGAAGTGCATTTGCAAATTAAAGAATAGAGGTGTATCCATGCAAGAAAATACATCATGCAGATATAATAAGCAAAGAAAATTCTCTAGCAATACAAGCTTATTAAAATATAGAATTCGAAAGAATGAAAAGCAGCATCACCACCACATGTACAGATATATAAAGAAGTAAAGCAAAGCAAAAATACTAGAGGCTTTATTTGATTCATGAACTTACAATTCCAAGATTAAAAGCATCAGAATAATGCATATAGCTGATAATTACATGCATAATACAAAAACAAACAAAAAAGTATTTATATATATAGCAAGCAATATAGTAAGTATGGATGCAACAGTTAATTTTAAAAGAACAGATAATAAACTTTTCTTCTACGTTCACAGCAAATTTAAGAAATTAATTTCTCTGCAGAAACACAATTTTTATAATAAAAAATTAAATTTAACATATATTATCATCTTTTTAATTCTATATTTTAAAAAATTTTCAGTATATAAAAAACATGTCATAACTAATAATAATGCCGAATAAAAAGCATTAGTATTTTTAATTTTAACTTTAATAAAGTGCATAATTAAATAAATAAATATTTAAATAATTATATTATTAATCTGTAAGCAAAATTAATAAGATAAGATTACACACAATATCTAATGACACAATTTAAATAAATAAAATATAAAAAAATAATATGAGTGCAAATAAAATAATTTGAAACTTTAAATTTAATAAATACAAATGCATAATAAGACAATACATAAGCCTTTTTTCATACATCATGCATAGTACTTCTAAATTTATATAAAATTAAAAACTTAAATAATTAAAATATTTTTTTTTACTAATAACATTTTATAAAACAAATAATCAAAAAACATCGCCCCTTTAAAGAAGTTGTAGAATTAATTTTTTATAATCTAAAAAATATATATTATAACATTTTAAAAGCTAAAAATGTTTTTGAAATGTTTTAATTTTATTTTTGTTTTTTTCTTTTTTTTTAAATCTTGATTTAATTTTAACTCACTGTTTTAATTTTGTAATAATTTAATTTTGTATAAATTCAAAAGTGATAATACAAGAAAAATTTCTTGTATTATGAAATATAAACAAAAAAATATATTCATTTTTTTCTACTGAGTATATATATGTTATAGTTATTTTATATTAAAATTATTCATATCTTCATAAGACATGAATATTTCATTATATTTATATACTGTGTCTCTGGTTAGTTATTACATATTGATAAATCATCTAGCACTATCACAATAGTGTTTTATAGTTTTTAAAATTTACAATAAAGTTAAAAGATAATTATGTAAGGACATTATTAATGTGGGTTATATAAAATATTAAAAATTCTTGTAAAATAATTATATTTTTTAGTGAAATGAAATTTCTGGAAATTCATGAAATTAATAAATCACCTTTAAAACTGTTGAAATGTAATATGAAAGTTGCATAACTAAGCCTTTTCAAGTATTTCTATCTATTCTCAAGGATCCAATATATTTACTATACAGCTTTAAGTAACTGGCATACTCTATTTTTTAAGATACTGGGTTTGAAAAAGAAAAAAACTTAATAAATATAATTTAATGCATATTTAACAAATAAGACCATCAAATTTAAAAGTCCTGTTGTCAAGCAGTCCGGTTTGAGACTTGTCAATCTGTTCATTATTCATTTGATCTATGGAATATGATGCAGTCCATTATGTACACCGTCTGTATGTTTGTAATCTGTACTTTTAGGGTATGTTTTTTTTAAATGTGTTATATCTATGGAATGTTTTATTTGTGTATGTATATGTAAATTTTTTCATGTTTGATTTTAATGTTTAGTCGGCTGAAGAGGGACTATGCCTGAAACACGACTTGTAAATAGTGTCCCAACTGAATAAAGAGATGAATAATCTGCCAAGTGTTTTGAAAAAAGTCACTTTAGTGTGTCTGTATAAAGCAAAGTAAACTACAACACGGTTTCATCAGAATCAAAAGAAATAAAGTATTATTAAAGATTAGTCTATAATTTAAATTTCTGTGACTTTTTGAATCACCCTGTTGGGTGATTAGTTGGGTGACTTTTTGAATCACCCTGTTGGGTGATTCAAAAAGTCACAGAAATTTTAAAAAATTAATAACTCACAAACTATTTAAAGTAAGTTGAGGTGGTTTTCACAGAACTTGTTAGAAAAAAATAGGATTTTTTTAGGTGTAATAAAAATTTTAGTACCAAAATAGTTATATTTCTTGCCATAGATGGCACCATAAAAAACAAATCATATGTCAATTTGTTAAAGTATAAAGTAAAAAAATAAAAATGTTCTTAGTGTAAGTTCTAGTAACAACTTCACAAATTATGTAATCTTATCAAGTGCAATCTATGGCAAGAAATAACTATTTTGGTACTAAAATTTTTATGACAAAAAATCCTGTTTCTTTTTTTAAGCATTTCTGTAAAAACTGCATCATCTTACTGTAAATAACTATTTACAGTAAGATGATTTGGTTAAGTGAGTTATTAATTTTTTAAAATTTCTGTGACTTTTGAATCACCTGTATTTTTGGTAAAAAAGTTATCATGTAGACTTCAGGGACATGTTCTTTGTAGTATAACTGTATTAACTTAAAAGATCTTACATTAATATTATATGTAAAGTATAATTGAAAACAAATATATATTTTTCTACACCAGCAAATTTTAATTACATGTTAAAAAAAAATCAGCAACAAGCTGAATAACTTTCATAGCAAAATGTTTAAAACTGTGTATGGAACTATCTCAGATTTTATTAAAAAGCTTTTTTATATTATTAATTGTTATAAAATGGCAAAAACTTAATTTTGAAGATAGAGATGAGTGTTTTTTCTTAAAGAAATTGTAAATGCTAATAATGAATAAAATCGCCATTAAGTCCAGCACCACTTGAGATATGACTCATGACTCTATAGAGAGTCTAGACCTTTAACCACCAAAATTTAATAGTATCAATGCCCCTAATATACAAACCTTTAAGCAAAACTTCAGAAATTTTTGGCAAAAGGCACAGGAGTTATTAAGCTTCAAAGTGGATAAACAAAATCATGCACACCACACACACAAACAAACAAACAAACAAATCTATACATACAGAAAAAACCCACAATGTTATTTTGCACTTCTGAATGTTTTGAAGTCCTGAGACCAAAAATGTAAAAATTTCAAAAGTCAATTTTTCATTAATTGCCATACATTCCCTCAGTTATATAACATTCCGGGAAGTAATAAAACAGATTTTTTGCTAAAATTTCCACAGCTACTTTATCATATTAAAACTATTGCATTTTTAATGCTTATGATAATTCTTTGAATTAAATAATTATTTCAGCAACCTGATAGTGCTGTGTTTTCATTGTGATAAGTTTGGGAAAAACAGCACTATATAATAATTAAATACAAATCCAAACAAGAAGCTAAATGAAGAAGAATTCTTTGTATGTTTTGTTCAGGAACAAAAAAATAATTAAGAAACAACTTATTCAAGTTGTTTTTGGATTTAAAATTAAACATTCATTTTTTTTAAATCAAAACTTCAGAAGATAAATGTTCAAATAAACAACATCCATATTCTGAAATTTCACTTCAGATATGTAGTTTAGTCATCACTGAAATACTTAAATAAATTTTTTTGTTCACCTCATCTCACTGAGTAAAAGCATTTTAGTCAAATGATGTTTATGAATGATTGAAATTATAATAAAAAGTAATACTAATGGTTGTAACATTTTATGTAAGATTTAAGTAAGTGGCAATTTTATACTTTTAAAATTATCATTGCTTCTTATATGTATGAATTTTGAAATATTAGATTTAATAAACTCAAACTTTTTCTAAGTTTAAAATTAATATTTTATACTATCATTTAAAATCTATATTCTTGTGGAGAATTATTTATCCTGTTTTAACTATTTTTGTATTATTATAAATTAATAGTTTTAAATAAAAACTGTATTTAAATAAATATTGCACTTATAATATTAAATATGGTTTGAAAAAAGCGATCACTTTTAATGTTTGTAAATCAAATAGGGCATTGTTAGCTTCAAGCAAAACTAAACAGAAATAGGATTAAACTGAAATAATTCTGAATTACATTAGCATAACTTTTTGAACCAAATAGATTAATAAAAACTAGAAGTAACATATGCAGTTGCATTTTCTTTTTGTGTGACTAATTATTTTATAAAACAAATGATTACTTGTATTTTATACAAGCAAGCATTTATTTTACTTTGTAAACAATTTATGTAGTAATAGTAACTCTTGTAAAAGAATGCTAACTTTAAAATTGATTGATAAAATGCAATTTAAAAGAGAGGAAAAAAAAACCAAACTAGCTTCTAATGTTAAACAATTAAAAAAATAAAATCAGTGTTCAACGAAAATAAATTAATTCATCAATTTTACTAAAATGTTTTTAATACTACTAGTAAAATATAACAATAATCTTTTACAATACTTACCTCGTCTTTTTCTCTTGATATGTTATTTAGAGAATTATGAACATCTGAATTCAAATATTTACTATCAATAATATTTTGATTATCTTCATTTTCCTCTTCTTTTATGGTAAAATCATCTGTTTTTATCTATAAAAAAGTATCAATCCATCAAAATAATTGTTAAAATTATTCTAGTTCATTCACTAAATGAAAATTAAACAAATAGATTAAAAGCTAACACCTGAAAAAAACCAAAAAACTTCTTATTTCAAAAATAATTTTTTTTAAGAAACCAATGTCTTCTTATAGTCCTTATATTATTATTATGTTAGTTTTAGTGAGTTATACTTGGTTGACACTGGTTGCTGGACCAGAGTGAAGACATAGCAGACAAAACAAGACAAAAAAAATTAAATAATAAGAGTTGTGTGTGTGCATGTGTATTAGTGTATTATTATTATTATTATTTTTTTAGTTAATATATTAACTAATGACAGATTTTTAAACTTATACATATTATTCGTAAAATTAACATACAATATAAAATTAAATATAATATTGAATACAAATTACAGTGGAACCCTGTTTAACAAACGTCCTGGTTAACGACCAAATCGGTTAACGAACTTTTATTTTGCAAAAATTTTGTCTCAGATAACGAACAAAATTTGGATAACGAACGTAACGGTATATTGTGTCAAATTTTAGTTGGTGTTAGGCATGCGCGAGTTAAGCATTGCTTTTCCGAGTGTTTGTGCTATACTTCTTTTTTTCAGTTTTGTGATTTATATATTTAATCAATATGGTATCGAAGAAAGAAAAAGTCATAGTGGCAATAGAAAACGACAATGCGCTATCGCATTTGAGAAAAATTTTGATTAAAAGAGTAAGACAATCAACTTTAGATCAATTTCTTGTTCCTTACGGAAAGAGTTTGTTTCATTGTTAAGTTATGGCAACGCAACACTTGGGCGATCTGACTAGGG